GATCTGTAATAAAAGGTCATCTAGCTGTGTAGTGAATTGGAGGCCAGCTTGGGTGACCAAGAGGCCAGCTTGTCCCATAAACAAACAAACAAACAAATAAACACTGTTCATTTTCAGTTCACTAAGTTAAAATTTTTTTATTGCACTTATTTATATTTATTACATTTACTTACTTTGTGCATGTGCTCCTGGGTACACATGGAAGTCAGAGGACAACCTGTGTGAGTAGCTTCTCTCCTTCCACCATGTGGGTCCCAGGGATCAAACCCAGGTTGGCAGGCTTGTCAGCAAATGCATTTATCCACTGAGCCACTTGCCAATCCAAGTCCAGAGTTCTAAGTATTTCTTTTGGGTCTTTACAATATATTTCATATGGTAGGTGGGTAAGAGGGTAAGAGCATCCATTTTCTGTAACTCTAGTGCTGTGGTGGGTGGGGCCCCAAGGATCATTTACACTCTAGGTTCAGTGAGAGAACCTGTCTGAAAGGAACAAGGTGGAGAAGGGCACTTGCTGTCCTCCTCTGACCTCCATGTATCGCATGCATGTATTCCCCCACCACATGCTTTACACACGCACGCACGCACGTACGTACATGTGTCATGTAGATGTTAGACTTTTCAGTTTGTTTTCAAGTTGCAAAGTAGGAACTTCAAATTGACTTTTTACTTAATATAATTTTAAATGTCATTTTACAGATCTGGTGCTCCCAGAGGGTCAGTTACTCTACTTCAGTTTGTTTTTTTTTTCCTCCTCTGAATTGTTTTTAGGCATTGTTTAAAAGGAAAAAAAAAAACTTCCTTTTTTTTTTTTTTTTTCCCTTAATGCTATATATTAGTGTTTTGCTTGCATGTATATCTGCACCATTTGTGTGCCTGGTACCCACAAAAGCCAGAAGAGGGTGTCAGATCCCCTGGAACTAGAGACAGCTGATTGTAAGTTGCCAAGTAGGTGTTGAGAATCAAACCCAGGTCATGTAGAAAAGGAGTCAGTTCTCTTAACTGCTGAGCCATCTCTCCAGCCAGGAAAAAAATCTCATTTGTGATACTCATTCAGTGTGTTTGCTCAACCAGTAAAGAATGCAGTTGTTCAGCACTATACCAGGTCCTGGGAATAGAAAGTCAGATAGGCCACTGACCTTTCCCTGAATCTGAAAACCTTTTAGTTTAGAAGAAGAAAGAGAAAGAGTAAACTAAATTAGCCAGCAGTACGACAGTGGTCTTGGTATTTGTGTACATATTGACTCAAAGTAGGCATTACCTAACCACTCATGAATTGTAGAGAAATGACACTTAATATTTTTATTGTGCTTATTTAATTTGTGTGTGTGCACACCCATGCGCATGCTCTGCAGGACATATGTGGAAGCCAGATGACAGCTTGGGGGAGTTGGTTCTCCTCCCACCACGTGGGTCTGGGCATTGAACTCAGGTTGTCAGGCTTTAGTAAGTGTGCCTGCACCAGACGAGCTATTATTGAACTTTCAGTTTATTCTTTAAATTGCCCTTTAAGGAATATGTAACAATTATTGGCTTTTAGGAAGCTGGAACAGTTGAATTGTGTTGCTTCATAAAAATCAAGGTAGAGGGGGAATGCCTGAATCTGAAAACCTTTTAGTTTAGAAGAAGAAAGATGGGGTTGATGGCGAATGCCTGTAACTCAGGCATTCAGGAGATGGAAGAAGAGAAAGGATGAATAGGAGTTCTAAGCTAGTCTCAGTCACATGGGGAGACCTGTCTCAAAACAGCAAAACAAAAAGTCAAGGTATGATGTGAGGTGGGCAGAGAAGGACCAGCTCTCGTGTTGTAGAAAAGGAGATCTTGGACTTTAACATATATATATATATATATATATATTTTTTTTTTTTTCTGCTACCCCCCCCTTTTTTTTAGACATTGTCCTACAGCTCACACTGGCCTTGGAATTCCTTGTGAGCTGAGGATTCCTTTGGACCACTTTGCTTCAGTGTGTGAGGTTTAACACTGCATGAACAAGGGAGTTGGGGAGGACAAGACTCAAGGGAAAACCAGTTGAGAAGGGGGCGGTAGTCTAGGCAGGAGACAGAGACAGTAGTAATGTAGGTGGAGAAGATGCCATGGAGAGCTGTATGAGACTGTGGTGGACTTGTACAAAGATCCTGACCTCTAGTCCCCTTTCTTGTTTCTTTTACCAATAAAGATAAGTCATTGGAGGTATTGGTGTACTAAAGGAAGCAATTTGTCTCTTCTGTAGCCAGTTGATGCCATACATCATTATAAGCAGGACTGTGAATAGTGCCATCATGTTTGTCTTAACATGACTAGAAGTTAGTGGATGTTTAATTTTAGGGGTACGTATAAACTTTGGATTGATATGCAGGATTCAGCCACATATTAGCTATGTGATCCTGGGGTAATTATTGTAAGCATTGTTCTGAGCCTGTTTGCTTGTAAGTGAGGTAGAGAGCGCCTAGTTGTGAGAGTAAATGAAGCTATAAAGGTGCCTTCTCAGTTCAGAGATAGGTAGCTGATAGAGGCTTAGCTGGTGTTTATGCTTCATTTAATCAAGGAATGATGGGGCAGTATTTCTTTTGATAGCGGTAAAAATTAGTTCTTGGGGGATAGTGAAAAAACCTTACCCTTAATGTATAAAATTATACACACATGCACTACATAAACAGTACAGTATAATATACCATCTGTGCTATTCAAATATCATGGGGAGTGGAGCTGATTAAGAAAATAATGTCTGAATACCATTTATAGGGTGATGATGAAAACAGATACACATAAGACAGTGGAATATGAAATACTAAGAAATGTGACATTTTTCTCATTAGTGTAGTGTGTAGGTGCTTACTTTGGCACCTGTTCAGATTCTCACCCAAAAAACCCAAAACCAAAGCCAAACCAGACAGACAAACAAAACCCCCACAAATAAACAAAAATCCAACCCCAAACTCTGCTACTCCATACTTCTTGATGTTTTCCAAATAAATTAATATCCTTGAGTATTTTAGAAAAACTATGATCATTTAGGATAAGAATGACCATAATTAAATGAAAGGTTATCATCATAGAAATATTTTTTCCAGATGAAGTTTGGTAAGTTTATCATTGTAGCTTCTACCAGGAGTTATTAGTATTTTTGTACTGGGGGGGGATTTGATATTTTAAATCAAACTTTTCTGTATGTCTTCACTTATGTATAGTCATTTTGGTAGTAGTATTATATTATTAGTAAATAAAGTGTTTGTATAACTGAATGTTTTGGTTAACTAAAGGTTCAAATGACAAAACAAGGCTTAAAATTTTATATTTTAAACTGGTTTACTGAAAATAACTTTAGCTGACTGTTAGACAACTTCATTTTCGTCATTATGGTATGGGAAAGGATGGTAGACGATTAATTAGTATCATCAGTGATTTCCATATAAAACTCAGTTCCAGCAATATAGTTTTCTAGTACAAAAGACAAAAATTAACCCATTACTGCTATCATTAAAGTGAACCAAGTTCCTTGATAAAGATAGCATGTGTCCTTTAGCAGATAGAAAATGAAAGTATAAAGAAGCAGCATATAAGCCGGGCGGTGGTGGCGCACGCCTTTAATCCCAGCACTCGGGAGGCAGAGCCAGGCGGATCTCTGTGAGTTCGAGGCCAGCCTGGGCTACCAAGTGAGTCCCAGGAAAGGCGCAAAGCTACACAGAGAAACCCTGTCTCGAAAAACCAAAAAAAAAAAAAAGAAGCAGCATATAGACATAGCCATACTTCACAAACAAAAGGTGACCTTCTGTCTTCCATCTTTGATGCTTTCAAATGTGAAAATCTTTCCCCATGCCCCTCCCTTTTTTTGCTAGGTATTGAATTCTGAGCCTTGGGAATGCTAAGTATGTGTTTTACCATAAATTGTACTCTAGCTCTATTGTTCTCAGGTTTGTTTGTTTGTTTTTAAAGATTTATTTATTATGTGTACAGCTACAGTGTTCTGTCTGCATATATGCCTGCAGGCTAGAAGAGGGCACTAGATCTCATTACAGATGGTTGTGAGCCACCATGTGGTTGCTGGGAATTGAACTCAGGACCTCTCACAAAGGGCAGCCAGTTCCCTTAACCTCTGAGCCATCTCTCCAGCCCCTGTTCGCAGGTTTTTATTTGAAACCTCTTGATGTTTTTTGTGAAATAGTAATTTATTTATGAATGTTTTTTTTGGTCTTTTAAAGATTGTTTTGGGTATATTTAATACTTTCCCCCTTAAATTTCTGTTTTTTTTTTTTAAATTCAACATTAGAATAACAAAAGACAGTTAATTACTAATGTTCAATCTGCCTACTTATTTTTCTCCCTGGCCATTTCTTTTTCTTTTTATTCACTTTTCACACACACACACACACACACACACACACACACACACACACCATACAATTTTATATTCTAGTAAAAAAAATAGTATCTTTTTATAATCTTTTCTGTCCAAAGTTTACAGGCAAGTCTCCTTGAGCTACTGTGAGACTTCAGATATATTTTGTTTAATGTGCTCAGTATTGATTTGTACAGTTTTAAAGATATTTTTGTTAGCTCCTATTTTTAAAAATTGAAGGAACTGCCAGGTGGTGGCGCACGCCTTTAATCCCAGCACTCGGGAGGCAGAGGTAGGTGGGTCTCTGTCAGTTAGAGGCCAGCCTGGACTACAGAGCAAGTTCCAGGACAGCTAGGGCTGTTACACAGAGAAATTCTGTCTAGAAAAACAAAAAAAAAAAAAAAAAAAAAAGGGAGGAACTTATTACAAATTTAGATTGTTATGGTGTCTTGAAAAGTGACATGGGCCTTCACACATAGGGTCTAGGCTCTTCTGTGAGAGCCTTTGGCAGCAGCTCCCACCTTCACATAGTCCATCCATTTTCTGATGTGCCATTATGTCACATCTGTGTGGTGCTCATTCTGGATCTGGGCCTATCTGTTAACACAATCCTGGATGGCACTCTTTCTTCTGTGCTTACACTTTATCTGTTTTTGTCTTTCAGGAGAAGACGTATGGTCGTATGCAAAGGGACTTCCTCACATGTTCCAGCATGGTGGTGTATTCTACAATATTATGAAGAAAACGATGGGTACAGTTAAATTCTGATTTTATTCTTGGATAATGTTTCTATTTCAGCTATTATAAAGTTAAGAACATTCAGATAAGGGCCCAGGGAGATGGCTCAGTGGGTAGAGGCACATACTGCCAAGCCTGACAACCTGAGTTCACTCCCTGGCACCCGCATGGTGGAAAGAGAGAGCTGACTCCCACAGTTGTCCTCTGACCTCCACCTTTGCACCATGGCACATATGCACACACACACGGGTACACAAATAAATACAATGTGATACTATCTTAAAAGAACAATCAAGTGATAGTTAATTAAAAATATTAACACCTGAGCATAGCATTCAAATGATTGGCAACTGGGCATAGTACCACATGCCTGTAGTCCAAATCGGGGTGTTGATAATTGGAGAACTGCTTGAGCCCAGGAGCTCCTAGCAAGCTTGTACAACATTATGAGATACCCACTTTTTATTTTAAATTATGTGTGTGTACATGCATGCATATGAATGCATGTGCTCTCAGACACCAGAGGAAGGTGTTGGGATCCCTTTGAGCTGGAGTTACAGGGGCTTTGAGTTGCCCGACATGTGTGCTAGGAACTGAACTCAGATCCTCTGCAAGGCAGTACATGCTCTTAACCACTGCACCATCTCCAGTCCTAGAGGACTCCCCCTGCCTTTTTTTTTTTTTTTTTCTTTTCTCGAGACCGTTTCTCTGTGTAGTCTGTAGAGCAGGCTGGCCTCGAACTCACAGAGTTCTGCCTGGCTCTGCCTCCTGAGTGCTGGGATTAAATGTGTGTACCACTGCTGCCCGGCAAGACTCCCCCCGCCTTTTTTTAAAAGTGTATGTGTGTGTGTCTTTTTTCTTCTTCTTTAGTGCTAGGGAGGGAAAAGCCTTCACAGATGTTAGGCAAGTATCCTGTTACTGAGCTACATGTATGTGGGGTGTGTGTGTGTGTGTGTGTGTGTGTGTGTGTGTGTGTGTGTGTGTGTGTGTGTGTGTGTAAGCATCGCACCACTGAACTACATCCCCAGTCTTGTGTATAAGTATATGCATGTTTGTGTGCGTGGGGTACATAGGTGTGTGTGTGCCGATGTGCTATAACAGGGTCTTAGGTATCATTCTTCAGGTGCTATCCACAGTTGGTTTGGTTTGGTTTGGCTAAGGTCTCTTACTGGCCTGGAATTTGCTAGCTAAGTACACTAGACTAGCTGGTCAGTGAGCCCCAGAAATCCACTTATCTCTGTCTCTTCAGCATTGATATTTTAAGTGTGTGCTACTTTTTTTCAGCATAGTTCTGGGGATTGAACTCAGGACCTTGTGCTCATAGCAAGCCCTTCGCTGATTGGTGCATTGTCCCCACCCCGCGTGTGTAGATTTTTAAATACATTCTTTTTCTTTACCATTGTGCCTTGTTATTACCCTGGTGTGCTCAGGTGTGCTCTCTGCAGTATAATCAGTTTTTATATTACTTTCTTTGTACCTAGTTTGGTCCTTAATGACTACTGAGAATACAAGTTGTGAAATTAGAAGTGGATCTGGTTAAACTGCTTGTGACTGTCCCAGATAATACAGTATTTTTATTGCTTGACAAATCTCATTGCTTTCTAGGTTTTGGGAAGCAGCTTGTTTTATATTTAACTTTTTTTTTTTTTTTTTTTTTTTTTGGTTTTTCGAGACAGGGTTTCTCTGTGTAGCTTTGTGCCTTTCCTGTAGCTCACTTGGTAGCCCAGGCTGGCCTCGAACTCACAGAGATCCGCCTGGCTCTGCCTCCCGAGTGCTGGGATTAAAGGCGTGTGCCACCAACGCCCAGCGTTATATTTAACTTCTTTGTGTATAAAGATAAATACATTTGTATGTAAATGTATGTTATACATATCAGGTTTTAATAGCAAGAGTGTTATTATAAGCCCCATGTGCCTATCACCTGGCTTCCACAATTACTACTACATCTCAGCTCTCTTCTCAACTGGTCTGTTGAAGTAACTCTCACAGTGTGTAAGTGTGTATGGGTGTCACATGCCACAGCTTGTTTGTCTGTGGTCAGAGAATAACATTTAGGAGTCCATTCTTTCTTTCCACATTGGGTTCTGGTAAGGAACTCAAGTGGTCAAGCTTGTTTGGTAAGCACTTTTCATCTGCTGAGTCATCTTGCCAGCCAGAGACAGGTTTGTTGAGACATGTTTTTATAGAATAAAATTCACATTTTTGTGGGGTTACAGGTACAAAATAAGTATCATATCCCCAGAATATGTGGAACCAGAAGCATTTTGGGCTTGAGGGTATTTAGGGACACTTTACATATACATAATGAGCTATTTTGTTAATGGAACTCAAGTAAAAAATTCATGTCTGTGTCAAGCCTGTCTTAAACACATTGCCTGCAGATAATTTGCATACTGTCCTTAAGGAATTTTGTGCTTTGAAGTCAGTTCACAAGGTGGACACTTCTGCTTGTGGTGTGATTTGGTGCTGAAGAAAGCTTCGGATTTTGCCACCTCACGGATTTTGGACTGTTGCATTAGAAGTGCCCAGAATCCATATATTCACTTTATACACTGGGTATGGGTTCTGAGAAACATGCAGTCATGTATCTGCCTCGTAAAAAACACAGATTATTTTCTATCACTCCAGATTTTTAGCCAACCCCCATTTTCTAGTCCCCACACTCTGGCAACCACTGATTTGTTTTCTGAGTTTATTTTCCCTTTTCTTATTGCTGCATTAGGATGATTTTTTGTGCCTTGTTCCTTTTGTATAACATAGGTGTTGGTAAACTAGCTTGAGGGACATACCACATCTGTTACTTGTGAAGCTTTGTTGGCATGTAGCCATACTCATGTCTACATACTACCTGTTGCTCCTTTTGCAGTACAGTACTAGAATTGAATAGTAACTATGAGACCTTATAGTCCACTATAATCAAAATATTTATCACGCAGTCCTTTAGAGAGAAAGCCTTTTTCTGTTTTGTTTTTAATTATATAAAGGATTTTTATTTTTGCATATGGAGGTCAAATGTCTGTGATCTATAATCTGGTAATAGCCATCTTGTTAGCAAAGCCCTGAGGCAGTGTAGGTCATAGCATAGCAAGAACAGGGGTGATGTATGTGTCTCATTTCTGTTTTCATGTATATTGGTAGGTATTAGTAGCTGATTTTATTTTCATTGCTGAATAATATTTCATTGATTGAATGTATCACATTAAACAATAATTGGGTCTGGAGAGGTGGCTCAGCAGTTGATTAAGAGTGCTTTTTGTTCTTGCAGAGGATCCACTTCAGTTTTCAGCACCCACTTTGGGCAGCTTACAATCCTATAACTCCAGCTCCAGGGAATCTGATGCCCTTTTCTGGCCTCCACAAGCATTAAGTCACAGACACATACACATAAATTGAAAAAAAGACCTCAACCAAAAGACATTTGAACTGTTTTCAGTTATTAGCTACTATGAATCTAGTCCCTATAAACATTTATCATTCATGTACAAGTTTTTGTATTCACATAAGTTTTTATTTATTTGTTATTATTTTATTTTATTGAGATGAGGTTTCTCTGTGTAGCCCTGGTTGCCCTGAACTGGCTCTGTAGAGAGAAACTTCCACATCATTTTCCCAAGTGATTAGACCATTTTTCATTTCTATTAGCACTATATAAAAATTCCACTTGTTTTAGATCTGTGTTGGCATTTGTTAGTGTCACTTTTGTGTGCGTCTATATGCTTGTGCTTGTGTGTATGTGCAGGAACACTGTGTGTTTGGGTGTGTGTTCACCTGTGTAGGTATGTGGAGGCCAGAGGACAACTACTTCAAATGTTGTTCCTCAGGAGCTGCCCACTTTGATTTTTGAGACAGGGTCTACCTGTCTGATCAAATAGGCTAGGCTGGCTAGCCTGTGAGTCTCGAGGATCCTCCTGTCTTTGCTGCCCTAATGCTGAGATTGTATGAGTATACCACCATTCTGGTCTCTCTTACATGGGTTCTGAGGCTCAAACTTGGGTCCTAATGCTTGATGGCAAACACTACCAGTTTTTGTTTTTAATTGAAAATGTTATTTTAAATTATGTGTAGGTGTATGGGTCTGTGCATGTGAGTGCAGGTGCTCTAGGAGGTCAGATGCCTCCAATCCCCTGGAGTTGAAATTACAGGCACCCAACAAGGTCTTGGGAACCAAACTCAGGTCCTCAGCAAGAGTCACTCATGCTTCACCACTGAGCCATCTTTCCAGCCCCAGTTGTATTTTGGTTTTATTTGTTTTGAGACAAGGTCTCACTGTGTAACCCTAGCTGGCTTGAAACTTGCTATGTAGAATATATTGGTCTGAAACTTAGAGATCTGCTGTCTCTGCCTCTCTTACACTGAAATGAAACTATCACTTGACCCAGTTCTTGTTCTTAATAAACAAAACAAAACAAAACAAAAACTTTTAATACACTAGCCCACAGAGGTTTATTTGCATTTCTCCAATAAAGTGATCTTGATTATCCTTTGATGTATTTGCTTTCTTTTTCCCTCCCCTCACTGTTAAATGGTTTTTATTTTTTACTGTTAAGTTTTATGTGTGTTGTAGGCACAGATCATTGATCAGATGAGTGTTTAGTAATTATTTTCTTATAGTCTACAATTTGTCTTTTCATTCTCTTGTTATCTTTTGAAGATCTTTGATATCTCTTGAAGTTTTTAAATTTAGATAAAGTCCAGTTTAATAATTTTTCCTTATGGTTCATGTTTTTTTATGCCCAACTCAAGGTTAATATTGTATTCTCTGTTTTATTCTAGATATTTTATAGTTTTATGTTTTTATATTTATTTTCAAATGTACTTTGGATATTACAAAATATTGTAAGTAAGCCAAGTGGTGGTGGTGCACACCTGTAATCCCAGCACTCAGGAGGCAGAGGTGGACTAATCATTTTGAGATTGAGGCTAGCCTGGTCTACAGAGCTAGTTTAGGACAGCCAGGGCTACACAGAGAAACCTGTTTTGAAAAAAAAAAAAAAAGTTTAAAAAAGTATAACAAGAAGCTAACTTTTGATAGGTTGCAAAAGTATAAAACAAGTCTTATTTTTAGTCGTGGATGTTCAGTTCTTTTACTATTGAAAAACAAACATCTTATCCGTTAGATTATTTTGATGCTTTTCCAGAAATTAATTGATGAGTTATATACTTGAAAAAGCTAAATTATATCCTATGTAAATTATACCTCAGTAAATTTGCTTTGAAAGTCACTTGAAGCCAAGTGTGGTGGCAAGATCTATAGTCAGCAGCAGCTCAAGCTGAGGCATTCAGGAGCTTATTACAAGTTCAAGGTCTACTTGGGAAACCTAGCAAGACCTTGTCTTGGAATTAAAAAGGGTTGTAATGTAACTTAGTGGTTGCATAGTGTAAGACCCTGGGTTCAACTCGGAGTATTGCCAAATTACCCAAAACCAAACAAAAACTCAAGCAAATTAACTGTATATATGTAGGTCTAATTCTAGAGTTTTTTTTTTTTCCTGTGTGCTGTCTCTCCTTTTTCTAGTGCCATGACTTGATTATTATATTTTTTTTTTAGTGATTCTTGAAATAAATCAGTGTGAATATTCCTTTGTTTTCCCTGAAAAAAAAATTTTTTTTGAGGGGGTATTCTGGGTCCTTCTTAATCCATACAAACTTTAGGATCAGGTTGTTGATTTCAACAACAGAAAATCTGCTGGGATTTTACTTACTGTGATCTCATTGATTGTATAGACAATTTAGAAATATTTGATGGCTTAACAATACCGTTTTCCAATTTATGAAAATGTTGTTTCTCCATTTACTTTCATCCAAATTTTGTAGTTTTAGCATACAGACCTTATAGTTATTTTATTCTTGGATTTTTAAAATCCTGTTATAAGAAATGCTTCTTAAAATTTCTGTTATTTATTGCTAGTGACTAGAAATAAAATTGGTTTTCATGCTAACACTGTACCCTGTGATCTTGCTAAACTCATATATTCTACTAGCTTTTTAGCAGGGTTTTTTTTTTTTTTTCCAGATTGTGTAGGTCAACATGTCTTTTGTAAATGAAAGATATCTCTTCCTTTTTTATTGATTAATTTATTATTTTACATCCCAACTATAGTTTCCCTCCCTCTTCTCACCTCCTCTCCCCCCATCTACCCTCTCCCCAACCCATACTCCTCCTCTGTTTCATTCAGAAAGGGGCAGGCCTTCCATGGGTATCAACAATGGGCCGCAGTAAGACTAGGCACATCCCCTTGTATTCAGGCTGGGCAGTGCAATCCAGTATGAGGATAGCCTCCCAAGAGCCAGCCAAAGTGTTAGGGACAGCTCCTGCTTCCACTGTTAGGAGTCCCACAAGTAGACCAAACAACACAACTGTCATATATGTAGAGGGCTAGTTCAGTCCCATACAGGCTCCCTGGTTGTCTCTTCAGTCTCTGTGAGCCCCTATGAGCCAGGTTAGTTGTTTCTGGAGGTTTTCTTGTGATGTCCTTTCACCTGTAAGTCTTACTGCTTTTTCCTGCCTTATTGAAGTGGCTAGGATTGAGTTCAATGTTGAATAGAATAGATTATGATGAACATAATGCCTTCTTCTCTTAGAGGGAGGCAGTCAGTCTTTTTCATGGATATGTATGTTACATTGAGGACAATCCCTTCGAATCCATGGTTGTGTGTGTGTGTGTGTGTGTGTGTGTGTGTGTGTGTGTGTGTGTGTGTGTGTG